ATGCTCCTCCCCACAGTGTCTCCTTAAATCTCAATCTCCAGGTATTCCTTGTGGAGAAGGGCGGGATGCTCTCCTCCCGAGTAATTGAGCCTGCCTGCATTGTTCCCTCCTCTCCACTCTCCGTGCTCTAGGATCAGGTGGGGGGGGGCCCTTGCTCATCACCTGAAATCTGTCTCTCCTGTTCCTCCTGTTCCAATCCTGAAGGGCCCTGGCCTGCCTCGACCTGCTCTTCCCCACATTCCTTTGAAGCCACAGACACCTCTCCCTCGACCTCCATAGGGTCCCATTCCACTTCATTTTCCTCCGCAGATTCAGGCTCTGATGGAGGCATGACACAGTGCAACCTAGCAGAATTTAATTTGAAGGTTCCTTTATAAACAAAACCTATGAGATCAGAGTTAATGCATGAATATGGTTGAAAAAATCCAGAGAAATTGGAGACTTCCGGTGGCAAGCGACCTCGTTGGAAGCAGCTTTTTGCTGCCTCCCGCCTGTTTCAGCGTAACAGCCGTTTAGACAGCTAGCATCAGCTGTAAAACGGCTTGATACCTTTCCCCTGGGCATAAGGGGATAGGTGAGCTGCCCGGGGTAGGAGTTGAGTTCCCGAGTCGTCCCATGTGGACGATGTAGGTGAGAACTCCTCCGGAGCCCCGAGGCTTCTCCGCGATCCAGGATGCCTTCGCTTCGGCGAAGCTAGAAGCCGCTGCCACTGCTGCAACTTAAATTGAACTGTGAGTTTTTTTTGTAAGCAGACGAACCGACCCTGGAAGTTTGCTCTTTATTTTGAACTGTGCTCTAACTTGGATAATAAGTTCTTCCCTATACTTCAGGTGGATTAGGGAAAGTGAACTTAAAATGGCGATGGATTGATACTTTTCAGCAAGAAGTGAAAGTGATTTCCGGTTTGGAACTTTTGTTACTTTTAATCTGCGTATTATTTGTTTTGGCTGAATTGCTTATAAGACTTTTTTATAATTGGAAATTTACGGCTAATATGGCTTTGAGAAAAACTGTGCCTTCAACTTTANGACCTGGCTATCTCCGAGACCGCCTTCTGCCACAGATTCCCTCCCATAGACCGGTACGCTCCCACAGAGTGGGTCTCCTCAGGGTGCCGTCGGCCAAGCAGTGTCGGCTGGCGACCCCCAGGGGGAGGGCCTTCTCTGTGGGTGCCCCCACCCTCTGGAACGAACTACCCCCCGAGATCCGGATGATTCCGGATCTCCTCACTTTCCGCTGTGCCCTCAAGACATGGCTTTTTCAGCAAGCGGGCCTGGCCTAGGGAGGATTTTAAATCGGGTTTTAAATCGGGTTTTTTAAGAATAATTTCAACTGCACAACTCTAAATATTGGTTTAATTTGGTTTTATCCGGTGGGGGGTTGTAAATATGTCTATGTTTTTAAATATGTTGTGAGCCGCCCTGAGTCCCTTTGGGAGAAGGGCGGGATATAAATCAAAATAAATAAATAAATAAATAAATAAGAATTACTAAGTGAGTGTCCACAAATATAGGCAGTGCCATATTCCTTATTATTATTATGGTTGGTTGCACAGTCAGCCAGATGTTTAGACTAGATTTAGAACTGGAATTTTTATCCACCTATTGAGTTCTTCCCAAGAACCTGGCATAGGTGGATATTGCTGTTTGATGGTGTTAAATTACATCACGGGATGTAAGTTGTTCCAAATAAATCTGCCTTTTGAAATGGACTGATGTAAGTTGTTCCAAATAAATCTGCCTTTTGAAATGGACTGATAGTGATTTTGTCAATGCTGATGGAATTCACCTGGGGTTCCAGTTGATTTGGAATTGTGCCCTATTATTATTGGTACTTTTTTTTGGCTTTCTTTTGCCACAGTCATTTTACTTCAATTTGCAGATCTTGATGTTTTGTGATTTTTTCCAGGTTGTGTGATCTTGCAGCAGCCGTTTCTTCAGCTTCTTTTCAGAGGCAGCATTTACATACAGAGGCTTCACATACATTTGCTCTTGATCTTCCGGAGCTAGAATTAGCTCCTCTGTCTATGTCTTCAACTTTCCTGCTCTTAGCCATTGCCAGGCCTTGTTGTTATGTGTTTTGCCTGCTAGTTTTGTTTATGTACTGGCCATGCAATGCTTTGCCATATCTCTTTTCTATTCTTCACTTAGTCTTTTTTGCACGCCAGTTGGGTTTCTCCAATATTCAATACTAATTTCAGTGCATCTTCTTCACTGTCCTCCAAACATTATTCCAATGCCCTTTATTCTTTTTCAGCTGTGTAGTGAACATGCAACATTCCACATCCGTACCTTATTTAGGAATGAAAATTATTCAATAGCTATGCTGCCTTCCTCTACTGCTGACCCCCCTAGTTTACCTTGACAAGGTAGATTAGCATTACTTTAGTTCCCTTAGTGAAATTTGAAAAACAATATCTCTTAGATGTCCTTTTCTAATACTGCCCAGCTTCCACTTTCTGCCTCCCCTTCTCTTCTGGCTTTTCACTAAGCAGAAGTAGCGATAGCTGATTGCCACTCTTTATCTCATTCCTATAGCTGTTCCCTTCTTTCTGCTCTCTCGTTTCAGTTCCATGGGGTTTGGGATAAATGGTTTTTAAATCTTTAGTTTTTCTCCCACCATTTCAATAGGACAATTTGTTTGCACAGTATAAAAAATAACGATTAGGTTTCCTTCCTCTTTTAAGGGAATTGCCCTAATCATGGGCAAACCATTATTACTACACTATGATTTCTGTGCTTTAAGATTTATTTAGTAAAAGGTTTTTTTAAAAAAACTGTTATGAGCTCTCCAGATAAGTAAGAGATTTAGTAAATCAATATTATTCAACTTAATCATAGTGGATAGGTTTTCACAGCTGTTTTTGATTATCAAAATGGCTTATGACGAATACCGTGTGGAAAAATGAATGATTGTATATGATGGGGCAGTGGTGAAGTTTCACTGGCCCTGCTGCAAGCTTCTTCAGAATTAAGTACATTCTTTATTTGCTTTATTTAGTAGAATGTGTGGGCTGCCTGATTCCCAGAGAGTCTCGATGGCTTACAGTCTAACAGGAAAAGTATTAAAAAAAACCCAAGAAGATAAAAAAAGCACAAACAAACATCTAAACAACAACAACAACAACCATTTGACAGGGCATCACCATGTGCAAGTACTGGGAGAACAGCCACTATATATATTCCTAACCCTGAGAGATGGGGATTTATCAAGGCTAAGACCTTTCTCAGACCATATCAAATCTCTCTTCTGCCAATTTCTCCTTCAAGTACTGTCTAAACTAGGAGAAGATGCCCTGTGGCTGCCATATTTTGGGAGTTCTGCTAATCAGTCATTAAGGTTGTGTTCTTTACATTATTTGTTAATAGTGATCATATCTTCTTAATATGTACATCATTTTCTGCATTAAGAAACTGCTATGTTCCAAACTAATAAGTAATTGTGTTGCTCTGGAAATATAAACATGGCCCTTGCTTAAAGACCCTTCATTCAGCAACCATTTGATGGTGATGAATGAAGGGACTTGGATCCATGCCCAATGTTACAGCCACTGCAGCACCCCAGTGGTCACATGACTGTAATCTGGGCTCTTGGCTACTCATTTGCGCTTATGACATATTGCCAAGTGCCCCCACGAACGTGTGATCGCCATTTGAAATCTTCCCTACCAGCTTCCCCAGAAAGTCAGTGTGAGATGACCCAGGGCACAGCACAGAGGCAATGCAATTCAAACAGTTCTTTTATTGCTCCAAATTTTCCCCAAATGCTCCCACTTTTGCTGGCAAGCCTCCAACAAAAGAACACACCTTCAGCCTACTCTGGATGAAAGTAGGTTCAAATACAGTCTGATTAGCATAAGAAAGTATTCAAGACTATAGAAATAACAAGGAAGAAAACATAAACTTAACGAGTCTGTTTGAATCCTAGCTTGCCTGAGCAGTTTTCAAAAGAGAGAATCCGAAATACAGTCTGAGGTCTTTAAACATTCAAATAACATGGTCAGTCAATCCAATAGTTCGAGTTTCCAGGTTTTCAAACAGAAGTCACAGAACAAGAGATCAGCAACAATACACAACACTCCAAGAATCAGCGTTTGTTCCCAAAAAATGCTCCTCCCCACAGTGTCTCCTTAAATCTCAATCTCCAGGTATTCCTTGTGGAGAAGGGCGGGATGCTCTCCTCCCGAGTAATTGAGCCTGCCTGCGTTGTTCCCTCCTTCTCTCCACTCTCCGTGCTCTAGGATCAGGTGGGGGTGGCCTTGCTCATCACCTGAAATCTGTCTCTCCTGTTCCTCCTGTTCCAATCCTGAAGGGCCCTGGCCTGCCTCGGCCTGCTCTTCCCCACATTCCTTTGAAGCAACAGACACCTCTCCCTCGACCTCCATAGGGTCCCATTCCACTTCATTTTCCTCCGCAGATTCAGGCTCTGATGGAGGCATGACACAGTGCAACCTAGCAGAATTTAATTTGAAGGTTCCTTTATAAACAAAACCTATGAGATCAGAGTTAATGCATGAATATGGTTGAAAAAATCCAGAGAAATTCATTTGTGGTATCATGTCTTATAGCAGAAATAAAGCAAGACAAAACAAAAACCATGTCTAGAAAATGGGTTTCTAAGGGTACTGAAAGTGCTAGTCCAAGTACACTGAAAGCTCTAAGTGTTGATGTTGTCTTAAATTTAAGGAATTTATTTCTGTCCAATCTACCTTTATATTTATGTTTGGCATTTTAGTCTTCAAGTACTTTAGGTTAAATCTAATAGAGATTAGTGAGACTTTATTGCATTTAGCACTTTTCTTTTAGATTGCATTTTAATTATATTGCAGAATGTATGCATTGATTAGTTCTTTTTTGAGGATTATGTTTTGTAGTATGTAACATAATCTAATAGTTCTTTCAAATAAATTATTGTGAAATCAGTGTCATTTTTAATCAAAATTTATATATGCATACATATATATATATATTGTTTTGTTTTATTTTTTAGCTTAAATCATATGCACAGTGGATGATTTCTCATCATGAATCGTGCTTTTAGCAGAAAAAAAGGTAAGCAGTTTCAGTTCAATGATATTGGAATAGTGAATTGAAAAAAAGACAAGTTCAAAAGGACAAAACTTGAAATGACATCTGGCCAGAGCATTGTGATAAAATGCCTTAGTGAATTACTTATTTAATTATTTGTCCTTATGTACAGTAATGGTTTATAAGCTTTAAAAGATAGGCTAAAATTATATAGCAAACATTTATATTAATGAGGCAGGGTAAAAGAAAAGAAGAAAAACCAACTTTCACACAAAACCTGAAAAAAAAATGAGAAATCTTCCAAATGGTCACCTGAAGAAAT